CACTTATCTACATGCAAAACAACAGAACGTGGAACTTATTTAACCAAACATAATTCATCAAGGAATAACAAGTGTAATATCCACTAAAGCAAAGCTTAAGTATATAACACCAACAGTCCCATCTTCACCGATCCAAAGTCTCCAGCTTTGTACGTTGTGAAATATTTCCTGTTCGGAGTAACGTGATAGGATGTTGCAGTATCTACCACCCATTCATTGTCTTTTCTTAAGACATGAAGGCATGTCTCACCATGGTTAGAGCAACATGCTACATCACCTGAGACAGTGAGGAGAGTTTCACCACCCTTGCCCTTGTTCTTCTGCTCAGAACTATTCTTCGGCTGAGAATTGCTCTTGCCCTACTCCTCAAGCCATTTATAGCAATTCTTTTTCAAATGACCTTCTAGACCACAATGGTAGCACACATGTGATCTCCGATCATCTAATTGCCACCCCTTGCTTCTACCCCTGCTCTTTCCTCTACCGCTTCTTTATCGCTTGCCTTGTGGTCTTTCTCGATTCTCTATTACAAGGGCATGAGTTTGATCTGTTCCCATGTCTTTCCTTCTTGCCTCTTCATTGAATAAGTCATCATTGACAATAGACATGGAAAGTTTTTTTGTTTGAGACTGAATTGTTGAGAGTAACAACGAGTGTTTCCCAGCTATCAGAAAGGGAAATTTTTAGAATTGGTGATATCCAGGCAACGACAAGAACCAGAAGTACAATCCTATTGAAGGATGTTAGACATGTGTCAAATCTTTGGCTGAATCTTTTGTCAGTGGTGGCTCTTGACAAAGAAGGATATGAAAATCACTTTGGCGCAGGCACATTGAAGTTGTCAAAGGGTGTTCTGAAAATTGCCCGAGGACATGTTTGTGGGACGCTGTACAAAACACATTTGAAGATTATTGCAGAAAGTCTCAATGTTGCAAAGGAAGTTTCACAGGATCTATGGAACAAGAGACTTGGCCATATGAGTGAGAAAGGGTTGACTACCCTGAAATAGAAGTATAGCCCCTAAAGCTCTTACCAGTATGTGGAAGCAGACATGAACGTTACCCATCAAGATCAGAACTTTTTTATGCAGATGTTTCGATGGTTATATAAGCTCTACGGGTCAATTGGGGGAAAAAGGTTTAGTTGTGGATCTTATTTGCTCGGTCTTTGGGGAGAGGGAAGAAGACAAATCATGTACTGTTTAATTGCTCCAAGGCTACAATTTGGTGGAAGTTGAGTGGTGTTCTCTGGGGTAGCCAATCTAAGTTGGTCTCTAACTTTTAAAGATGGTGATATGATCTTTATAATGCTGGGTTATTGAGGCTGAAGGAGAAAAAAGTGTGTTTACCTGCATTCCTACTGTGGAATATCTGAAAGGCTAGGAATAAGTGGATGTTTAAGGGTGACTGGATACATGAGAGAGTAATAGTGGAAGAAGCAAAGGCAGAATGGCTAGAATTGGGTGGTGAAAATGACTTTCAAATCTCTAGTTTGATTAGGGTGCCTGTGTCCTCACACCCTCATTTAGATATTTTTTTTCCCCTTAAGCAGGTTAGTCAGTAATGACTATCAGTTCTTCTTTTTTTTTTAGGGAGGGGATACTCTTATATCCTGTTCTATGGATTCTGAAAGAGCTACAATCCTACAGTATCAACATCACCTTCAGGGGACAAACAATGTGAAGGAGGCTTGGATCCTTGCAGTTAGGTGGCGTCTCCTTAGAGCTAAGGAGAAGAAGTACTACAACTTCACTTGTCTGTTGGTACCAAATGACTTAGTGTAAGCCATATCAAGGAAAGTGGCTCCTGAGGGTGTTGACAGATAGTTAATGCTAAAGTTGTATGTGTTAGTTTTTTGATTAATTGTTGTCCCACATCGGATGTATACCAAAGATTTGTAGGATTTTTTTAGTATAAATAGGTCCCTTCCCTTTGGGTTACAATTGCACCTTATTCTATTCTCTCCTATTTAGTAGGAAATCCTTAATTAAGGAAATCCTATTTTGTGGGTTATTTAACCCTAGTTGTATTTTGTTGGTGAGTTTAGTAAATTTGGCGTTGCGGTTGGCGGTGCCCGGAGACGTAGGCTATTTTCGCCGAACTCCGTTATCAATTTTTGTGTTCCTTTTATTTCTCGTCTTTTATTTGTGTTGGCTTATTTTGGAGTAGTGTTCGCCATATTTGTTGGAGGGGTATTTTTGTCTACTGTGCTTGTTGTGATACCCCAACAAGTGGTATCAGAGCCGAAGGTTCGTCCCAGGCTCATTTGGAGAGGCGAGCACTGCATTCGGGTCCGAGATGTCCAAGGAGGTCAAGGGCGCATCATCCTCTGCATTCATTCCGGCAAGGACGGTGATGCCGAACGTCAGACTCCCGGTGGAGATCTTCGACGGGACCGGTCATTTCGGCATGTGGCAAGGTGAGGTGCTGGATTGTTTATTTCAACAAGGCGTCGACATTGCGATTGAAAAGGAGAAGCCAACAGACGTTGAAGAGAAGGACTGGAAGAATATCAACCACTTAGCATGTGGAAAAATTCGTTCGTGTTTGTCGAGGGAGCAGAAGTACGCGTTCAAGAATGAGAAGTCTGCTCACACTCTGTGGAAGGCTTTGGAGGATAAATTTCTGAAGAAAAGCGGCCAGAATAAGCTCCTCATGAAGATGCGATTGTTCCGTTTTGAGTACCGGCATGACACATCGATGAATGATCACGTCACTGCATTCAATCAGTTAGTTGCAGATTTGTTGAACTTGGACGTCACATTCAGCGATGAAGATTTGGCTCTTATGTTGTTATCATCACTTCCAGATGACTTCGAGCACTTAGAGACTACTCTGCTCCATGGGAAGGACGATGTAACTCTTGCAGTGGTCAGTTCTGCTCTGTATAGCTATGAGTTGAGAAAGAAGAACAAATAAGAGACGAAGAATGCAGCAGCAGAAGATGAAGCGTTAGTTGCAAGAGGTCGGTCGAAGAGCCAAAAGAAGAAAGGACGAGGAAGATCACGTTCCAAAGCCAAGCTTGAAAAAGACGAGTGTGCTTTCTGCCATGAGAAGGGACACTGGAAGAAAGACTATCCTAAGTTGAAGAAGAAGGGCAAATCTCCTCAAGATGCATATGTTGCTGAGGGTGGAAGTGAAGACTCAGAATTTTCACTTGTGGTTTCACCTTCATCATCTCATCCAGACGAATGGATTTTGGATTCAGGATGCACCTACCATGTATCCCATAAGGGAGTGGTTCTTCAATTTTCAGGAGATCAATGGAGAGGTTGTCTATATGGGTAATGATAATGCATGTAAGACAATTGGGATAACTTCAATCCGTTTGAAGAATCGCGATGGTTCCACATGAGTTTTGACGGATGTTCGGTACGTGCCGAGTTTGAAGAAAAACCTCATCTCATTGGGAGCCTTGGAATCCAAAGGTTTGGTAGTGACTTTGCGAGATGGAGTTATGAAAACTACATTCGGATCGCTCGTGGTGATGAAAGGCATCAGGAGGAATAATTTGTATTACTATGAAGGTGATACAGTTGTTGGGACAGTAACAGTAGCAGATTCCACCAACAAGGAGTCTGAAGCAGTCAAGTTGTGGCATATGCAGTTGGGACATGCTGGTGAAAAGTCCTTGCAAACATTGGCAAAACAAGGACTGTTGAAAGATGTCAAATTGTGCAAACTAGACTTTTGTGAGCACTGTGTTCTGAGAAAGCAAAAGAGAGTG